GGATAGGACAATTTCCTTGACATTTCATTATGTATGTATATATCAAAGCATCAAGTTGTATACCTTAAATATACACAGTTTTTAAAAAGAAAAGAAAGTGATCCACATTTCTTTTAGAGTATGGCTCACACATGTTGTACAGTACATGTTAAAAAAAGGTGTTCTGAGAAAAAGCACCCAGTTACCATCAATCGATCATTATTTAGGGGCCCCTAAATATCTCACTCCTACATTGTAATGATGTCACACGGTGAAATATGTAACTACAGTGTCAACAGACTAAAATAACAACCGTGGGATTCTGACTTAACAGCAGGCTCTGAGTAAACTGTGATATAAACAGACTGCAGCATCTTGCAAGAAAAGAAGATCCATTTTAATATTTCCATTTGGAAGAAATACTTTGTTTTCCAGCTCTTTAAAATGAAGAACCTGATTGCAAATCTTTGAAATAAAGACTTGCTCCAAACCAGGGTGTGTAAGACTGTAAGTCCAACTGAGAACCTGACGACAAAATTATCTGCCCAAAATGATACGTCTTGTCAAAGGTAGAGTCAGAACCAGATCTGGGGTCTCCTGACTTTCAGTCTAGTGTCTTTCCTCTACCCCTTGTGTCCCATCAGTTTCTGCTTGAGTTTACCTTCTGGTAAAGAGCTGGACTTGCATGGACTCTGCTTAGACTTTGTCTCATGTTTTAGCCTGTGTAGCACTTCCCAATATCCACCCCATTCCTTTTCTACTACCCTCTTGTTGACCGTCTTTTCCCCTTTAAGTCAGTTTCCTTTTGTTTCCAATGGATTACACCATCATTGGACACCATGCTTCAACTTCCTCTTGAAGCTCTGTTGTGGTCTCAGGACCTAACCTCTGCTTCTTCTTATAGTCATACCAAAGCATGGGCAGAAGTTCATCAAGAATGTAAGGCTGGAAGTCAGAATGGGGAAGACCAAGGATCTGGTGAGGAATCAAGTGCAGTGTTGAGCTGAACACATAGTTTGGACCCAGAGATTTTTTAAATATCTGTAAATATAACCTCTTTGGTCCTCTGCTTATCCTTTCTAAAATATAGGAATCGAATAAAAAGATCTTTAGGATTCCTTTTAGCTCTAAAATTCGATGACTTCTGAAGCTTTCTTCTTGTTGTTAGTCAATCAGCAAAATGGTTTATTGAGGGCCTTCCATGGACTCTGTACTTGAGGGTTCTATGGAGCATGTAAGAGAAAGTGGTTGTAATCTACTTGGGAAGATAAAATTAACAGACACCACTAGAGAGCAAAACAAATACTATAAAGTCTAAGTGAAGCATGAACTATAAATGGAGTAGGAGTTGGGAGGAGAGAAATCCCTGGGCTTCAGAAAAGTGACAACACTGGTTGCACGGGTTGGGTGATGCATGATTGATAGAGAAGAATTCAGACAATATTTGGATCCAGATATTTTGAATCTTCTGTGTTCTACAGATTCTCTTCTACTTCTTTTCATCTAGAAATTCTGAGTTTATCTGTTGCCATTATTTGAGGGTCCTGGTAGCCCAGGTGGCAGTTAGCTGCGGGGAAGGGTCTTTTTCTTCTTCTTTTATGTGCAAAAAGTGTCTGTCTGTGACAGAAGAGATTCCCTGGCCAAGAGCAAAACTGACATTTCACTGGTCCCGAGGTGGTGGCTGAACCAGTTATTTCAATTCCTATTTTGTATGTCCTTGGCAACCAGAGCTTGAGAGTTAAAAAAGGAAGGAAAACACGATCTGTGGGAAGCATAAAACCAGCTCCTCAACCTCTTCCATAAAAAGAGAAGAAATAGGTCTGAGCCACCTCTCCAAGAGGGAACATTCTTACAGCACTAGAGAATGTAGTGAGTGCCAAGAGGAGGGAAAAATATCAATCCTGATTTTGAAAGCTGACAGAGGGTGTATGGGATAAAGCAAGTGAGACATTCAAATATGTTCATTACTCTCTTTCTCTTCCTCTCTTAATAAGCCCCTTCTTTGCCACATGTACCTAC